AGCGTTGCCCGGGGGGGGCTGCGGCAGGACCCCCCTCCTCCCAGGGGACAGGGGCTTACGCGGGCCTAAGAGAGCCTGCAGTTATGTCTCACATGCAAAACAAGCGGAGCTGCGATTTACATATTGCAGAGATCCCAAAATTACTGGGACAGTTTCACACGCAAGCTGGGGTCTGGGGGATGCTCAGTTGATGTCCTCTGGAAAGCTGAATTCTTGGTTATTTTTAGATAAGGATTATAAATACCATGGCAAGGAGAACAGATTTACATTTAAGGTTGTGTTTTCAAATGTGCCCTGTCCCTGCAGGCCCTGCTGCTCCCTCCTGCTGCCCCACAGCAGCTCAGCTTTTGGTGGGGAGGGGGTGTCCCCAGGGCCACTTCTTCCCTGGACACCAGGGTCCTTGGCTGGAGACCCGCAGGAATAGGCCTTCTGCAGGCAGGATGCTGGGTGCGTGGGGACTGCCACCAGGCGCCCTGCGGCTCTCTTGGGCCATCACTTGCCCTTGCACGCTAGCTCCACTCTGCCACGGGGAAACCTCATATCCTCGAACCCCTGGTAGGAGAGAGGATGCAACCACCCTTGCAAATACAACCCCCTTATCTGGACCATCCGCTCCTCGGCATGAGTTGCCCACGGCATGTGCCCTCCTTGCTGCCCTCCCACGAGGGCAGTTATAAGGAGATGTACTTTCCTGCCTTGACGACCCCACATGCATCCCCCTTCCCCATCGCCTCCGTGGGAATCTGCCCCGCACTTAGCTCCCAGCCCAGGATTTTAAGTAGACTTTGGCTTGCGCTGATTTTTCAAGAGCGGGAGGGAAGGAGTGAGGAGAGCTCTCAGCTTGTCTGTGTAAACAGATCTCCTTGGTGCGAACATCGCCGGCAAGGCAAAGAGCTCCACAGCCAGCTTGGCAGCGTCTCGCCCACCGGCTGCCTTAACCCCTTTGCAGCCGGAGCTTACAGGCATCTTAAGGGGCTTGAACTGTTCCAAAACACGTGATCTTGGCACATCATTTCGTTTCTCCCCATGCCTGGAGCTGCCCTGCGCTGTGCTATCCCAGGAGCCATCAATAAGCAGCGGTGGGACGGGGTTGTCCCAGAAGAGGCAGTGAGGTGTCCCTGCTTGCTCCGTGGGAGGCACTGGAGGGAGAGCGAACACTGCTGACTGCCAGGCCAGGCTGCTGGAGGAACACGTATGGTCTCTTCACAGCAGCTTCTTCAGACGATCCCCCGCTGTTTTCCAGCCCTGGCACCCTTGGATGCAGCCTCAGAGCTGGGAGAGGCAAATCCTGCAAGGGACAAAGCTCTGCAAAGGCACCTGGGTGTGGACGGGGCTCAAATTCACGGCGACAAGGAAAGGACAAGACAAATGCTCTCCTCCCATGAGGCGTGCAAGGGGACAGGCTTTGCGCTCTCCAAACACCCAGAGACTTTTCTACCTATTTTCCTTCTTCCTTTCAAGGACCAAGACTCTCCTATGACTGTTTCTTTTTGTTAAAATTCAGAATGCAATTTCTTTATTAAAAAAAAAAAAAAAGCATCCAAAACCATGGCTACACTGACTGACCAAAATTGGTGTCAGCCTAGGAACAGTTAGCCAGTGGTTAGAAACTAGAAATAAAGCAAGACAAGACTAACATTTTCACGAAGATATTAGTAAAACTGAAGGGAGAAAAATCGAACATGTTTTCATGGAAATTTCCATTTTTGAAAAAAATAAAAGAAGGACTAAACTTGGACACGTTTACATAAATATGGAAATGAAAACTGTTTCTCGAGCCTTGTCGCCACCCCACGGCCAACACCAGTCTCACGCTGCCCCTGCTCCCTCCGGCAAAGTGTTTTCCCACAGTAACCCCCTTTGCTGTGACTCGGCGTCTGATCTCTGTGTCAGACGTCGCGCTCCTTCCCTTTCCCGCACAGCCTCCCTCGTAGGCCTCCACCCAGCAAAGCGTGGATAACGTGCTTAGCTTTTAAGCATTCAGTCTCTTCTTCTTCAGCAAAGCATTGATTTATATTTGGCAACCGGTTGCTTCAGTGCTTTGCCAAGCGGCAGCCGGAGCGGCACTCTGACTGTCCATGGGGAATCCAACGGCATGCGCCCCAGGACCGAGCTCTCCCTTTGGTTGAGGTAGTCAATTAAAGGATGTCATGCAGCTCCCCATCGTTTGCCTCGGCCAGGTGGTGATTGCAGGACACGTACCGGGAGATGATGCTACGTGGCCAGATCCACGTCGAGCGACTTGCTAACTGCAGCAGGCATGGAGGTCTCTGCAAGGCTGGGGGCGGCCCCGAGGCTGATGGAGCAGCTCTGGAGGCACTTAGTGCCCCTGCAAAATCTGCCCTTAATTCTGTCCTCGGGGACATGTCTGTAGGGCCGGACAGAGGGCCAACGGGGCAGTGCAGCAACTGGTGTGCAACGAGCAGGTGGGACAGGTGGACGGACAGACAGACAGACATCCATGCTCTGGCTTTGCAAACTCCTTTCCATCGCTACAGTAACAGGGCCTCCTGTATTATGCCTTGCTATCGGCTTTTTTTTTCTTTGTTTCTGTAGAAAATCCCAATTCCCCCAAATAATCCAGCTAAGAGTAAAAAAAAAATACAAACGTGTCATTGCATTCTCTTCCCATCCCCATCCCTCTCTCTCACACACAGGGCTTGAAAGCACGCTGAAAGGTATTCAGTGTACATTCTGCCAATTGTCACATCTTTCAATGACAGATTTTAAATGAATGTTATTTTGCAAGGGAGAGAGAGGAGGAAAAAAAAAAAAAGCCCACACTGCTCATCCAAGAGCTGACAAGTCCTAACGGGCCTCATTTTCCAGAGACAAAAATAACTATTTTCAAAATTCACAGCAGGGCCTTCGCCTACACACGCTGCACCAAGAGAAACCTGTGGGGAGAAATGTAAAATACATTGTGTAAATGGAAATGCACCATGCATCCAAAATGCTTTTAAAGCTATTTACCCTCTTTCATCCTAGCCAGCTCTCATCTGAGCACACATACACACACTCGCACCCTGCTGAAAGCGCGGGGGCACGGCACTTCACTCGCTGCCTGTGCTTGCTAGATGCCTGGCCCCAAACAATTGCATCGGTTAACTCCCCATGGAAGGCAGATGGGGAGGTATTTCCCCCCACGCGTGCGCTCCTCGGAGAGCCGCACTGATCCGCAGCGAAGGGATGCAGTGGGCACCTCCACGCATATGGTCCCCCCAGGGAAGGTTGAATGAAGTAAGACAAGTGAAGGAGTGGGCAGCTCTGCAAGGCAGGAGTCAGGGTGACCCTACTTCCCCGTTCCTCCTACAGCTTCAAGGGTCCTGCATCTACAGAGCAGTGCAAACGACCTCTGCAGGGACCTCCCTGAGATCTTCCCCCTGCTCCAGGTTCAATAGCAAGGGATCGGGTCAGAGACAGCTCTCGCACAGAGATGGGGCAACCAGGGATGGCTGGCTGGTTGCACCTGCAGGACGCCTAGGCAGGAGTGTGGATGCACGGATGCATAGCAAAGAATTCAGGCATGCCTACGGCCATGCGCCTCGGCGATCTGGCCAGGCCTAAGTGCGGATGAAAGGGGTCTGCCATATAGCTGGGCCGTGTCAAACCCACCGGCACTCGGGGCAAACCTGCCTCCCAAAAGCAGGGATGTGCAGAGCCAGGTGTCCTCTGAGCACCTCGAGGGCCTATTTCCAGCTACTCCGCAGCTCCTCATTGCACCTGGCCGCAGGGCCCCTCGAGTCAGCAGAGAGAGGAAGTCATGGCGCCACGTGAGACCCCTGTAGCGGGAAGCCTGAGACCAGTCTCTGCAGTCTCAGGTTTGTCATCCATGAGGCAGGAATATCTGTCCTTGTTCAAAGAAGTATAATGGGGTTGGGGGAGGCCCTGCAAGTTCCAAACACGGCAGCCACTTGGCAGCACTTAGAAAATCAGGAACACATTTATAAAGATAAAAAATGAGGGAAAACCTACAGTCAGAATAGCCAAGGCTGGCCAGGCCCTCCGAGACGCCAGCTCAGGGCCCCTTCATGCTGTTTCATGTCCTTTTGCAAAGGCCAACATTTAAAGCTTGCAATTGCCTGCACAGTCCTGAAGAAAAAGGATCTCTTGCTTTGGAAAGAGCTGTGCATGGGCCAACCCAGCTCAGTGGACTCATATATCACTGCTCAGCACTGTGGTTGAGCCTGCACTACTCCTCCTTGCCCGTCGACCCATCTGGCCCTCCATGCGGCTGCTGGCCCAGACAGAGAGGAGAGGCATTTCAGGGTGAGTGTGCCCTGGTGCAAGGCAAAGCAAGAGGGTGCTGGCTGCCTCTCCGTCCGTTATTCTCCCTCCCGCTATCTGCCCCGTGGCGCTGCTCATCTGGAGCTCCACCCTGGCCAGGCTGCATTGTGATGCTGGGGGAGTCTCCTGTCAAATGCGGTTTGACATGAGCCTGGTGTTCAGCTTGCGGAAGAAAGAGCGCAGCTTGCAGATCTTGCACTTTTTCTTCTTGTTCCTATTCTTCAGGGGCTCCCCGCCTCCTTCCCACTCATCCACGTCATCCTCGCTGGCCCAAGGGCCCCAGGCACCACCGTTGAAGTCGGGGTGAGCCCGGGGGTTCTCGGCGGGGTACCGCACCGGGATGGCTGTCTGGTTGTAGTATACCAGCCTCATCAAGAGAGCCCTGACAACATCTGGGCGCTGGTCTGAGAGGTCGTAACGCTCATAGGGGTCAGCAGTGATGTTGAAGAGCCACATGGACTTCCTCAGACCGTCGGTGAGCCGCTCCAGGTTCCACCAGCTCCCTGGGAAGTTGGTCAGGGTCTGAGGAGGGATCCAGTCACTATAGCCTGGGTCCCCAGTGAGGAGTTTCCACTCCCCAACCCGGATGGAGGCCTGCACGGCTGTGTTCCAGATGCCGAAGCCGTCTTCCAAGGAGCCGTACTTGGCATGGTTGTACAGTGGATCAATGTTGTGCAGGATTTCGGTTCGTGGAGACTCCTTGCCCTCACTGATGGCTGGCCACACGTTGTAGCCATCCAGGCCTGGGACACTGCTCAGGTTGCCCCTTGCCAGGCTCACCAGAGTTGGGTACCAGTCCGTGATGTGAACCAGGGCCCAGCTGGTCCGACGCTTGCGTTTGATCAGGGGACTGTGGACAAAGCCGATGCCACGGACTCCCCCTTCCCAGTACGTCCCTTTGCGGCCTCGTAGTGGCCAGTTGCTTCCCCCCGAGAAGGTCTGCCCACCATTGTCTGTGGAGAATACAATCACACTGTTGTCATAATAGCCGTACTTCTTGAGGGCCCAGGTGATATTCTTCACTGCCTCATCCATGCACGTCACCATGGCGGCGTACTTGCGGCGAGCGACGTTGCCCATGGAGCGGTAGCGGTAGATGTACTCTTTGGGCGACTGCAGAGGCGTGTGCACTGCTTGGAAGGCCACGTAAATAAAGATCGGCTTCTTGGGGCTGTGGGATGCCAGGATCTTGCTGACGCGTTGGGCGTAGAGGAAGGTGGAGTACTTCCCGCTCTGGTCCCAGGCCACTTTCTCCCCTTCGTGCAGGTCGTAGCCACAGACGCCAGGCCCATCGCAGTTGTCATAGGTGTAGTAGTCCACGTTGCCCGTCAGGGAGCCCAGGAAGGTGTCAAAGCCCCGGCGGGTGGGCAGGCAATCCTTCTTGTAGAAGCCGAGGTGCCATTTGCCCACCATGTGTGTGGAATAGCCGGCTTCCTGCAGCTTCTGTGGCAGGGGGGCCCGGTCGAGGGGCAGGCAGTTGGGCTGCCGAGGGCGGATGATGGAGTGCTGCAGGCCCGTGTGGATCTGGTACCTGCAGAGAAGAAACAAGAGGAATCAGTGCTGATGGGGAGCAGCACTGGGTGGGATGTGACAGCACTTTGTTTACAGGAGACTCCAAACGCACACAGCTCTCCGTGTCAGCCAACCCAGTCCCATGGAACAAGCTCCATACCAGAGACAGGGAATTCCTTGTCCATCTGAAAGTACCAAAGAAAGTGCAAAAAAAAGAGAGGAGGCTCAGCAGACATCCCTGAAGTACACTGGGCTGCTCTCCCTTCAAAACCTGGTCTGCCATCAGCAGACAGCCCTGCAGATGCCAGCCCAAGAGAGCTGGCTGGGCTCTTTGCAAGGGCTGGGCAGGATAGGCGAGAGTTGCCCAGTAATCCCTAGGGGTTTGCAGTGCCCCACCTGAATGCGGACCCTGCCCTGTCCTTCTCTCTGCTTTACACACCCCAGGGATGCCTGGGCTCCCTCTAGAGCCACCAAGAGAAAGGAGGGGGCTTTCCCTGGGGCTCCATCACCCCCAGGCAGCAGGTGACCACATCCATAGGCACCTCCCCGAGGCCCACTCCTCAGTGGGAAATGACCTGATGAAACCTGCCTCCTACGGTGAGTGCCGATTTCCCAGCCCTGCTCCAACCATGCAGAGAAAACCCTGTCTGTCACTCCAGGAGGCAAAAGAATCCACGATTGGCAGAGACCTGGCTGTGTCTCCCTGGGAGAGGGTCATGGACTAGCTTGCCCAACCCTGGCCAGTGCGGCACTGAGCAAACAAACAGGAAAAGCATGGCACAAGGGAGAGTCAGTAGCTGCAGAGAATAATCCTTTGGTTCCACAGCCCAGCACTGAGCCCCCACAGGCCACTCTGAGAACAAACTGACCCAGTGGTTGGGCACTCTGGTGTCACCCCCATGGGACTGCCTTGGGGACATGAGCACATCGCCCTAGCACCAAAGGACCTCAGAGGCCTGGCCAGAGACCACCCTCTCCCAAAGTGAGTTCGGTGGCCCAATCAAATCCACATTTTTGGCCTTGGTGACATGCCATGAGGAGTCACTGGTGAGCTGGTGGCAGACTCCACATCTCCTGCCTTTCTTGAGCCTGTCCTGGCGTTTCCCTGATACCGCTCTGGCTCCTGCTGACAGAGCACGCGCTGGCCCTGCACCCATTTCTTCTTGTGACACTTGGGACTTGCAGCACTCATCCCAGGGACAGTGGGGGAGTGGGGGCTGGCACTGACTACATGGCACATTGATGGTCACCCTAGCTGTGACAGTGTGAGGACTTGGACTCAGGCTTCAGAGTCCCAGGCAAATGCAGCAACCCAGGGATGGATGTGGCAAAGGGTCATCCTTAGCTCTGGCACAACTTTCATATCTAGGGAAGCAGCTTTTGCTGAGACCCAGAGCTCAGACAGGCTGGGGAGTGCAGCCCAAGCACTTTCACTGGCATGGTGTATCACCATTATGGTGTTATACCATGTGCCATTATTTACGCTATGCAAATATGAACTGTTTAATCAGAGAGTCTTCTTGAAAAACCAGCAAGACACCTATTCTGCAAGGTGACCTCCAACATCTGTCAAAAATCTGGGGTATCGTTCTAGTAGCAAACTGGGATTAAGTCTCCAAGAACTAAGAAAGGGAAAGAAGCGGTTCGATACAGCGGGACCTGAGCAGGGCATAACCAAGTCCTGTCTTACCTGCCGGTTATCAGCTGGCTCCTGGATGGGGTACAGATGGGCTGGATATAATAGTTCTCCAGTTTAACCCCTTCCGCTGCCAGCCTGTCCAGAGTTGGTGTCTGGATATCTGAGCCATGATACCCAACGTCATGGTATCCCTGGTCGTCGGTCAGAATGAAGATGATGTGAGGTGGCCTGGTGAAGGTAGGAGGCAGCGATTTCTCCATAGGGTCCATAGCCACATCTGCCACCAAACCGGGCTTCATCCAGTCCCAGGATAAATAGCCAAAGCTGAGCAAACTGACTAGTGAGAAACCTGTGAGGGCATAGACAGCCATCCTGGAGTGAGGATGAGTAGTCTGCGAAGGGCGCTATTGTCCCGGCATCTTCCCAGAGCAAAGGAAGCAGAGGAGGGATCTCTCCCTCCTCCAAAACAGCCCCCCAACCTAGGGGATGGTCTCTGAAATCCCTGCAGTGAGTTTTGCAGGAACAGCTCCCATGAAGACGTGCTCACACACACACAAAGAGCCGACTTAATCCGCTGGGGCTGGGTTGTGTTCAGTTAAAAGAAAATAACCATCAAGCCGATCCAATCAAACACATATGCACTGTAGAATGAATTTCCTCGCAGTGTTATTAAGAACAGTCCCAGAGCTACTCCAGAGTGTCCCAAGTGCTAGAAATACTCCCTGGCTTCCTGGCTTTTTTTGCTGTTAGGTTTTTTTTTTTTTTTTAAAAAAAAAAGATCCACATAAAAACCTTGCTAGAGAAAGTAGCTGGCTTTTCCAGTTCAGCTCCGTGCCTGCTCGGCTGTCCAAATGGCTTGCTCAGGATACGATGATCTTTTTATTAAAACTCCTGCAGAAGAGGGTGCTAAAGTTCAAGCCCAGAGGTGCTGAGCTCTCGTCCTTACCCTTCAGGGAAGAGCTGCCGTCTCCTTTTCTCACCGTTTGCTCCAAAAGAATTCCTTGGCAAAACCACACCACCATGATTTTTTCCTTTTTTCCTTGTCTTCCCTCTCGTTCTCCTTCCCTCCTTTCCTTTTTTCTTAACTGGCTCTTTCAGTCAGCCCTGAAGTCGTTCACAACTGTGCAAAGAGCTCTGGAAACTCCCTCCTCGGCTTTGCTCGCGCTGCAGGCGTGCTGGTGAGAGCAGAGCTGGGGGAGAGGGCAGAGGAAGCTCCCTCCGGCCGCGCTGGCGGAGGAGGCAGAAAGTTGTAACATCTGCCTGGGATGTGGGCTAAGCAGCCAGGTTTATGGGGAGCCGCAGGCTCGGCCCCTCCCAGCTCGCTCAGTGACTCAAGGAAAAAGCTGGGAAGACCCAGACCTTGCAGGGTCCTAAGAGTGGTATTCCTCCGCCTCGGAGCGGCAGCGCGGCTCGATGCTTCCCTCCCGCTTTCCCTGGGATGTGTGGAGAGCAGGATCCACGGCCGGTGCTGAGAGGTCCCTTGGCGGGGGCTCTCCCCAACCCGCGGGGGGCTCAGCTCGCTGCAGACAGATGGGAAAGCCCCGGCATGGGTCAGCGCTCGCACCCCACCTGCCCCATACTGCCCTGTCTGGAAGGGGAGCAGGATGGGCTGCGCCCAGCTGGGCCTCCCGGGAGGGATTCCTGGGACCGTCTGCCCACACTACCATGATCTCAATCCAAAAAAAAGACCAGACAAGAGGAAAAACATGTTGTGACACCTCCAGTGTTGAATAAAACTGCCCAAGGGCACGCTGACTGTTACAGAGTGGGGCAGGCACTGCTGCGCCCATTTTCCAGGTAGGGAAACCGAGTCAAGGAGGGGCCACTTGTACTGCCTGCCAGCCAAGGGCAGGGTTTGACATGAAATAGAGGCCTCTGCCAACGCAGAGGTACTGATCTGAGTTTGAGAGTAGCAGAACAGGGGGCTAGTTTGGTGTCCTCGTTGCCCTGCTGTGCAATTGTGCTTCTAGGGAGCTTTTGGGAGCGAGAAGAGAGATGCTCCTGCGTAATTTCTCCTGCAGGACCACCATCCCTAAGGCATTAGGTAACCATCACGGCTGGCATGCATCCTCAACTTTTGCTAGTGCAGGACTCAGCCTCGGAGGGGGGATATTGGCAGAATAAAATCAGACATGTTCACCCACTGTTGGCAGAGGCAGGAGGGAGTGGTGAGCCCTGGGAGACGTGGATGCGCGTTTGAGGCACGAGGCTGTCCCTCACACATGTCGGGCTTGGGACCTGAGGGGTCCCAACACACCGTATGTCCAACCACATCCCCTCCAGCCTGTGCATCCTCTCCGCTGCCTGGCTTTAGGACCGCAGGGCTGCTGCGGCAGTGGCTCCGTGAGGGCTTTGGGATGGCTCTGCCTGCAGAGCTTTAGCCAGTGCCTGGCTCCGTGGAGCAGCTGGGCTGGATGGCTCCTCTGCTGGGTCCTCCCTCCCCAGGCTCCCCTCCTCTATGCTCTCTTCCGCCATATCCTCCCCTCCCCAGGGTCCCCCCTCTGCTGGAGTCCCCTCCCTGGGCTCCGCTCCGCTGGGCTCCTCTTCCCTGTATCCCCTCCTCTGGGTCCCCTCTTCTGGCTCCTCTCCCCTGGGCTCTCCTGCCTTGGGTCTCCTTCCCCAGGCTCCCCACTGCCAGCTCCCCTCCCCTGGGTCAGCTCTGCTGGGCTCCTGGGCGCTCTCTGCCCCAGACCCCGTCCGTCCCCTGATGCCTCCCAGAGTGCCCACGTCTCCCTGTCATCCTTCGTCAGCCTCCCTAGCTGAAATCCCAGGCACCCCGAGGAGTGGGAAGGATGGAGGCTCCACAAAGCTCCCCGCTATCCGGGACTCGGGTGCTGGGTGAACCTGAGGGGGAGGCAGAGATGTATAGCCTGCTTTCTGGACACGAGACTTGGCTTTTTCTGCTGGCAGAAATCCCTGCTCACTTGGAGGAGCAGTGCAGGGCTGGGCCGAACCCTTCAGAAAGGTTTGTTTAATCCCTGGGGGTTAATCACTCTTTTCTTCTGCCTGCTCCTCTTCCCCCTTCCCCTCTCTCTCCTTCCCACCACTCTCCTGCTTCCTGCACATTTTTCAGCTCTCCCCGACTTCTTTTTATTTTTGAACAATTGCACCCTCCCAGAAAAATCTGGACCTGAAAGAAGGGGAAGGGGGGTGGGTAGGGGTTCAGAAAGGGGAGGTGGCCCCAGACTCCTGGATCCTGCATGTTCGCCTGCTTTTCTCCATCGACCCCTTCAGCCTGGTGGAGACCCCAGACCCCTCTGTGCCTCCCCGGAGCCAGCCGGAGCTGCGGGACCTTGCTGAGCATCCTGATGTGCCTTCCCCGTTCGCAATGCTCTCTGCAGACCTCAGGCCAGAGGCAGTGTTATTGCCAGGGAATATAA